CATTTTGGACCGCCTTCAAAAGCCTCTCGGCAGCCGGCAGGCCTGTTCCAGCTAATCAACAAAACGGAAGATGTTTGATGGACAAAAAAACAGGCGCGCCATATCTGAGACGTCTGAGACGCAGGGATCTGGATTTACTGCGGCCCCAAAAAATATCCAACGAAGCAACACGACGACAAGGGAACCCCAAAAAACCTTGAGATCTTTGGGGTACGGGTATGATCTTGGATCAAGAGGCCAACTCCTGTACTGGTCGCCACAGCTAGCCTGTCCGAGGCCACGCAGCCTTGGCATGGCCTGAACTGCCACATACGATGCTAACCGCCGAGGCCACCCTCTTCTTTTCTAGGCTTCCGAAGCGACGGCCTCACTCAAACGCTTCTCGGCGCCTCGCAGGGTGCAACCTTGGCATTGGCATCTCCACCTTTGTGGGCTTTAGCACAGGCCACAGCTAGCCTGTCCGAGGCCACGCAGCCTTGGCATGGCCTGGGCTGCCACGTACGGCGCTAGCAGCCGAGGCCAGCCTCTTCTTTTCTAGGCTTCCGAAGGCGACGGCCCCCCTCAGACGCTTCTCGGCGCCTCGCAGAGTGCAACCTTATTGGCATTGGCATCTCCACCTTTGTGGGCTTTAGCGCAGGCCACAGTTAGCCTGTCGGAGGCCACGCCTCAGGCTAGAACACCCATCTTCTTTCCGCAGACGGGCAACCACCGGAACGACACTAACGCCTTCAGTTACACATGCTACACTCCTCTTGAAAAGGGGTCGGCGGCACCCGGGCGAAGCCCTTACAATTATTGTGGCCCTGCCTTCTTACTTCATTAAGCAGGCGCCTACTTAATTAAGTAAGGGAGTAGTAAGCTACTAGCAATAGGAAGCTCCTAGCTAGTATGCAGGATAGTTCGCACTACAGTAATGATTTGGAAGGTAAGGTCACCTTAAAGGGGACCTTTTTTGCTGTCTAAAGCGTACCGACTCAATCCGACTCACGATGTTTGCAATCTAGAGCCATCCATGTGATGCGCATGTTGAATCTGTTACAACTGACATGTTCAGTCTTTGCTGTGAGGCATCTTTGTCGGAGATGGCGGCCAAAGGTGTGCGCATGTAGGAGCACCTGAGCGCAAAGCGTGGAGTAATTAAGAATGATCTATATAGTCTGGTGAGTGCCCACCTCAACGTGAGGCCATTGCAAACACGTCTGTGAACTAGCTTCTTGCTCCTAGTAGTAAGGCCAGGAGTGCCCCTAGTAGCGTTCTTGCTCCTAGTAGCGATGCCAGGAGCTACTAGTGGCTTCTTGTTGCAGGCGTCAACAATGCGACGACAGTAGCTTATGTCGTTTCAGTTGCCCTCTCGTTGCTAAAGTGACGCGAGTTCCAACGCGGTCATGGCATAAAGGCCAAAGTGATCCTCCTTCAGCGGTTCCAACAAGTGCACAGCCTGCAGGCTCACGAGTTTCCACCTCTTTATTTCAACAAAAGAAAACAGAAGGTACAGTCCGGCCATGTGTTTAAAGGGGTGAAAAGGTTCTTCGAGGTGCAAAGTATCAAGAAGTTCTCTGGCCTTTTGCAGAAGCTGCCTCTTTTCTTCGTTTTGCCTCAGTTCGCTCCAGCTCATAAGAGAGCGAGTAGGTGATTCTTGTTTGGCCAGGCGGCGCCATGGATTGTGCCAAATGTGCACAAAGGGAAGCAATCGGGGGAGCCAGTGAGGGTGTAGTCCTCACAATCCAAGGCATTTTGAGACCAAGATTGATGCAATATGATGCAATTACATTGCAAGTGTGCATATGTCAGTGTGAATATGAGAATGAATTTAAGAAAGAACACAGTCTCTTTCTCTTCTCTTTGTATATTTTGACAAGTTGGGAAAACGAGCTGTGCAAGTCCTGAAGGCCGAGTTTGAGCTGTCCACGTCCCAGTTCTCGACTGTCAACTCTTCGGTCAGATCAAAGAGCTCTGCGGCCGATGAATTCCTTTGAATAGAAAAACGGGGCTTGACTCAATATACCGATTATATCCGATTATATATCTCAACACTGCACTTCTACAGCGGCTTCAACACCTCACCTGACGGGACTGTCCGCCAAGATGCGCCTCCCGAAAGAGCCAGTAAGTCCCTCCTTGCCGGCGACATCTCCTGAGCGGCTCGGTAGACAAGTGCATTAGAAAGGTCAAGTAGGTGCCCTGTTGGGCTTGCGTGCGGCCATTTGCCAAGGAACTGCTTTAAGAAGTGGAGAAGCTGCTGAGAGTGTTGGTGAATTTGCTTCGCATTGAAATCTTCCCCGTCACCTTGCGGCTTAGCAACAAAAACAATGTCCTTACAATCTTCACCGGCAAAGTAAGAATAAGTGATTAACCACCGACACCTGGCATCGCTACTAGGAGCAAGGACGCTACGAACAAATGCATCCGACACACCTGGAGAGGGAAGATCAGCTGTGTTAAAGACTCGCCAGGTCGAAGAGCCGTCGCCTTGGGGCGAACCCCAAACTGCCTCAGAGCGAGCGAACAAGCTAGTAACGGCATCGCTAACCCGGCGACAAATAACAAGGTTCGCTACTAGGAGCAAAGGGCATCGCTACTAGGAGCAAGGACGCTACTGGGGGCTCCTGGCCTTACTACTAGGAACAAGAATGCTACTAGCAACAAGAAGTTACTAGGGAGAAAAAAGAAGGTTTAGGGCCTTTAGGGTAGAGTAAGGAGTAAGTAGGAGACCTTGGAAACTACGAGCTAGGACGCAGAAAAGCTCAGGCTTCCCACTATTTGTTCGGTTCGATTACTTGGGAAACTTATATAGTGCAATGTAAAACGGCGGAAGGGACCTTTCTGAGACGTAACAATTCTCTCTTTCTCCAGTTAAGGAAGAGCTCCCTTGTGCAGCCAAGCTCGTTGGTGATGTCATGGCTTACTTTGGCATTTGTTTCGGTACCTAATGAACCCTTTGTTGTTCTTTTTTGTACTGTACGAACTGCGATTGTCGATTTCAGACATGTGTCCTTGCTGATGTCACACATCATGTTCTCCAGGTACATGTCCAGTCGATCATCGCGAGAAGGGAGGGCTCCAGACCCGTCAGGAAGCATCTTAAAGGATGCGAAGTCTGTGGGGTCGCACTTCTCCTCGCTTGGAAGGTTGCTCAAACATTCTTGAATTCAACAATTCTGGAAGGTTATTCTACAAAGGAAAAAACACATGAGTTCGATATAAGGGACAACTCCTACCATCTCCAGCTGAGTTTCGGCACTTTGCATCACCACCAAGTCGCAGCCGAGCAAAATCTTATACGGCCCACAGCGCCATTCAACCTGAAGGGAGGGCTCCTTGCTAACCCAACACGCTTCTGCAAACAAATCTGTTGCTTTTTTGTTGCTTCTATCGACAGGAGTTGAGCTGGAATACAGCGCACTGCACCAAGCCAAGTGGCTGCTCGGCCAAAACGACTGGGCTGGGGTGGGATCTCCTCAGAATCTTCAGCGTCTTGACATGTTCTACTATATAGATGTATCTAAATGTGTTCTTTTTCAGCCTCCCGAGCAAACATTCTTGCCAATTAAGGCGTAGAAGGCAGTGAAGGTCAAAAAGGAAACTCAGCATGCATTCAAGAAAATGTACCTGTCATCTGGTAAACTTAAGTCTAAAGCCAAAGGCCGTTTCAACGCGGGAATGCATTTGACATGTAAACACATGTGTTCATGGAAAAACACACCAAACAATGCCCAAAACTTGGCCAAAGGGCAAAGAGCGAGCGGACTGCCTCCACCACAGCACCTGGATTGCCTTTGCCCTTAGCTTTCCGTGTCTTCTCTTTCTTATTGTTTCTTTGAAATATGTGACACATGTGTATAATGTGTTTGTTTTTTCAGTTTCCTTCCTATGTTTCAGTACATCTTCACACTTCAGACCTCCCTTTCTCCCTTCCTTCTGCTATCAAAGTTGGACGCGAAGTCCGGATAAAGACGATTGCGTGACCGAACTACAAATCACCTCTGTCTGGTGTTTATTGACAGTAACATATAGTAGCAATGACTTGCTCCACACCGTTTTTGCGGTCTTTGGTGCGCAAAGCTCCAACCAATCTCGAGACTGCCGAGGCGCAGATGTACACTGTAACCTGGCTTGTGCTGCAACTGATTCGACTTCAAAAAGACAAGGTTTCTCCAGCGTGCACACTGAAAAGTGACAACATGACATCAAGCTATTTCACACTCAAAAAGGATTTATTGATCTTTTTGAGGCCCCTGTCAACTGTGAACTGTGCGGGCTGGGACAGGCCATCGGGAGGATACTGACTCAGGCACCATTGGCTTCGGCTGGTCCGATTGCAGGGGCCGTGTCGGATTGCCGGAACACTTCGTGGGCAGCAAGGCTCTCAGGCTCTCTAGACAGGAGCCCCTAGTACCGTCCTTGCTCCGAGTGGTAAGGCCAGGAGCCTCTAGTAGCTTCTTGTTACTAGTAGCGATGCCAGGAGCCGGAGCCCCTAGTAGCTTCTTGACCAACCAATGCAATCTTTTGCCAACAAATTTGATGAAACTTGATGCCCAGCCACAGTTCCCAATGTCTTGCAGCCAGTTCGTTGCTAGTGTCTCCAGGCTCATAGGGAATCAAAGACCTCATTGTGGGAATTGTGGGGACATCCAAAATGATTTCATGGGTCACAAAGGTTAACAGATGTTAACACTATCGTGAATTCTCGGACAGATTCAAAGGGGAACACATGGCCTATGGCCTCCAACCTAAGAGCTAGCTACATTAGACCGTTCTTCCTTTTCTTGTTTTTTCCTAATAGCAAACATTGTTCCTAGTAGTAAGGCACTTGTTTCTAGAAGCTATGCACTTGTTCCTAATAGCTTCTTGTTACTACTAGTAAGGCACTTGTTACTAGAAGCGATGCACTTGTTCCTACTAGCTTCTTATTGTTTCGATGTTCGAGAATTCACCGGCCAAGAGGCCAGGCATTAGCAGCTCGCTCGATGTGTTCCTGCAGTTGCTGTCGCACCGCCTCGGCACCTGGAGCAGCTTCCACGAGATTGCCGGTGTAACAAGAAGCTACTAGGAGCAAAGGGCATCGCTACTAGGAGCAAGAACGCTACTAGGAGCTCCTGGCCTTACTACTAGGAGCAATGTTTGCTAGTAGAAACAATTAGAATTCAAATTAAAAGTAAAAAAATCACAGTCTCGAGTGATTTTCGTTTCATCTCACATCGACCACACTGTGACCACACCTGATTGGGCTGTCTGGTGAGCCAGGTGATCTGCTTCAGAAATCATTGACCGAGGGGTATCGCAATCTACGCGACCAGGTGCGCTCTGTGCGCGGCCCAAACTTTCATAGTCAGAGCCTTCATCAATGTCCTGCTGAGCAGTTTGCTTTGCAAAAATCCGACACTGGAGACTACAGTAGGTTTCACGATGCTGAAGCCTAATTAGGCCCACTGGAGAAAAACACCTCAAAAGCCTCACAATGCCTAGAGATAGCATCACACCACTTCTATTATATAGTTTCCTTTGCTTAGGTTGGAGGCCATCGCTACTAGGTTCTTGCCAGGCAAAGCGAAGCAATGCGAGTTTCGCTCCAAGAAAGTGTTTTTCACGCAAAGACGATTCTTCAGTTCGGGCGCCAAAGAGGCCAATGAAGAAGTTTCTTCACCCAAAGCACCCAGGGCCCTCAGCTAACAAAGGACGACATGCAAAAAGACGATTTAGAAGACTTGAGACGTACTACAGTATGACATAATAGGTGACATTTACTAGCTCATGTGCATCACTACGATTTAACTATCCCTGAATGCCTTACTTGAGAACACATTATCTTAAACAGTGTCATGCCGTCCCATTAATCACACCTTTCGGGAAGTTCAAAGTATAAAACATGAGACACAGCACCTCATGACACAGGTCACAACATGTCGTTGGCCACCTCACCCTTAGTCTACAAAACTACTAGTGCCTCTTTGGCGACTCTTTGGAATGATCATGCAAACATGTTGAACGGTGACATGATATACAAAAGGAAGAACTTCTCCAACCTACTAGCGATGGCCTCAAACAACGTCTCTCTTTTCTTTCGATTTTACACTGCCTTTAAAGACCCAGTGACATCTCCAAGGATGGGTCCAACTCTGCCAGCATCAACGACTGCTCATGGTCGAGGCCGATACCAGCGTCGGGAGGCACTCCCACTCCACGATTTGCAAGACGAGGCCCATCGTCCAAGATCAGCATAGGTCCCACTTTGTGGATCATCACCTCAAATTGGTTGATTCCTGCCATGCATTGTTTTCTTTATTCCGCTTTCCAGTCTGGCAACAATACAAGTTGAAAGCTAGCATGTAGAGGAAACTACAGTAGTCTTCCAAAGGTTCCTGATGGTCCCTGGCGCAGTCCTCAGTTCCCTTTTGGGGATGGTAGAGTCAACGAAGGGCATACATTGACATATTTGCTCACAGAGTATTACTGGTCTCATTGACGACAATCATGTCATGAACACGTTGAATTCTTTCTAATTGAAACCCCTTTCGTGCACATGTTTTGGCCGCTCTAAATTCTAAATGTGCCAAGCAACTGAAACGGGATGATCAGTCGCCGACATTCCTGGGAATCATGGATGATCGAGAACAAATGTAACAAAGCAAAGCGAAGAATTGAAGTTTAATTCTAATAGCAAACATTGTTACTACTAGTAAGGCACTTGTTACTACTAGCGTGGCACTTGTTACTATTAGAAAAATAAACAAGAAGCTGAAGCAAATCAAAGTAGTATGAAGGAGGACAAGATGAAAGACATACTGAACAAGCAAAAGACCACAGGCCGAGCAGGCCAGAAAAAAGGAGCTTTTGACACCGAGTTCAGGAGTGACTCGATGTGACGTCAACTTCGTTCCGAGGTTCGAAAGAGGTTTTTAAAATGATGCAATCGCCCGAGGAAATCTGCATTGCGTTCAGCCTCGGACGAACACGACGCGTGTTGAGGTGTCCGGCACCGAAGAACACTCGCCTGGCTCTCAGGCTCTGATGGAGTGAGAGAGAGCCTCATTGTCGGAGCCAGTGCTTGCAATTGCAAGAAATGTCCGAGTATAATTTTTGGGATCATTTCTACAGTGCATCTGGGCAGCTCTCTGGCATGCGCGGCTGTACCTGAGGGGAAAAGCCAGCGACTGTCCCTGACAACTGCTTCAAGGGTGTCTCGACATTCCTCAAGTTCCCGGCAATGTTCCCGCACGGCCTCCTCTTCTCCTCAACTGCATCACATCGAGGAACAATACGGACTCTTTCATAAGGCCCCCCGTGCCTAACATTGCCTAACTAACTATGTTTGTCATGAAAAAAAGTTATCTGTAGTAACAAGAAGCTACTAGGAACAAGTGCATCGCTACTAGAAACAAGTGCCTTACTAGTAGTAACAAGAAGCTATTAGAAACCGTTTTGTTCTTTTCCTTTTCGGCAAAGTCTTCACGGTTTCAACGCTCGACACCGCAACGCAGGCTCTCCTCCGTCCAGCAGGCTGAAGCCTGGTGGCGCCTGGGGGAGGGAGAGAGAGAGAGAGAGACAAAGCAAGTGTTGCAAACGTCAGCAACAATGGACGTGTATGTGTTTACATATAATGCACATATATATGTACACATAACGTATCTACAGCTTGGTTGAAAAGGTTGCCGTTCTTTGTGGTAGCTGCAGCCGCAAATGGCTGCAACAAGAGCAAGACTTGTCAGCCATTGTCGTTCTCTCAGTTTTTTGCATGCCTCAAGCGCCACAGCGCGGCGCACATCGAAGGTGGCCAGCGGCTCCAGCGAAGCCATAACCTAAGAGGGGCGAACATCTCGGTCTTAGGCCACCGCTCAGGTTGACATTGCTAGTAAGGAGGCCATCTCTTGAAAAGTCTGTCTCCAGTGCAACCGAGCTTCGACAAAACTATATATCCAAGCGAATTCTGAGGATTCGTCGAAGTTTGCAATCGCTTGCTTTGGTAGCTTCGTCTTGTCTGACGTCACACTGGAATGTTTGATTCGAGCAAGAATTTGGATAAAACAGTGGGGGTAAAAAGTGGTTTTCAAGAGTATGCCCAATGAATCATTTAAGCGACCCTACAGGAAAGGACGTATTTCAGAGTCATTCATTACCATGCTGACCCAGTTCTCTCTCAGGGATTGGTCTGAATCATCTGTGGCAGCGACTGTACTGCTAAGATCCTTTGCTTCTTTCTCATGGTACTTCCAGATGTGTCTACGCTTGAACAAAGATTCAAAAGCAGGCAGGTTCTTGGCGAGGTGAAGAATAAGCAGCGATAGGCATGCAAAGGGCGGACAGGACATCAGAAAGCCAGCCTGGTCGCGACAACCTGAAGACACTCTGGTCGTTGGTGAAATACAAATTGTCTGAACAAGAAAGTGATTGTCAAATGTCTTTGGTGCACTTCAGTGGTATTGGACGGGCGAAAAAGAAGGTGCATGGCGGCATGTGGCGACACTTTGATCAGGGACAAACAAAAAATGTCGATCACTTCAGCCCACCTCCGGGATAGTTTCAGGCTCCTGTGGGGCGGAGACTGAAGAAAAGATAGTGCGAAGATATGAAATGCAGAAATATTATCTTTTCCTCACTCTGCTCCTCCTTCAGTCTGGCCTGAAAACAATCTCAGAACCACAAGCTTCAAAGCAAAGAACTGGAAAAGAATTCACAGGGACTCACTTGGTGTCCGCTTTTGTCGAAACAAATCTCAACAAGCAAAGAAGTTCATCGATGCCAACTAGGCCAAGGCTGCAGGAAAAGGAAGGCGATGGCTCACCTGTGTTGCCAGTGACTGCGGATAAGGAATTTATGAATGAAGAAAAACTGTATCGCCTCCATTGCATGTGGTCGCTCGGGCCAATAGCCAGATCTGTCGACACTGGGCCTTGCATCAAAACCTTCTGAAAGTGCTGTCTGTGTTCCCGAAATATTCGAAATATACAGCGAAACTGTGCAACACCCATCCCTGCCTCGATGGCCTCAGAAGCGTCAAGAACAAGACAGAAGTGAAACAAGAGCGAAGTTCAACGATGAGTGCCTGCACCGCTTATGCTACTGCTACTTATGCTGATGCATGCACGATGCTGCACAATACGCCGTTTTGGGATTTCGACTGCTCTCCGCGACCGTTCTTCGCTGCGTCGACCAACCTTTTTGCTCTTTCGTCGAAGGGTCTGATCTGCCGGTCCCGGTGGACACCTTCGACAGAGATCCCAACAATGTTCGCTTACTAGTAGTAACAAGTGCCTTACTAGTAGTAATATGTTAGCTATTAGAAACAAGAATTCTAATAGCAAACATTGTTATTACTAGTAAGGCACTTGTTACTAGAAGCGATGCACTTGTTACTAGTAGCTTATTGTTTCTAATAGCTGAATTCTTATTTCAAAAACAAAGGCCTCTTTGATAAGGCCTTAAAGAGTCTCTGTATCTTCTTGTCTTTCCTTTTCTTTTCTTTTTCCTTTCTTCTCTCAAAACGTCATTCAAACAAGATGTGTGTCATACACAGGCAGTATGGTGTCACTGCATTCTGGTGTGTGACTATGTGTCACCGCTCCCACCTTGGTATCCTTGGCAGTGCTGGTCGGTTCTTCCCGCGGCCGGTGGTACCAAAGATTTAAGCTCAAAGCAACGCAATGCTCATCCGGCACTGTGAAAACAGCATGGTGCCAGCCAGATGGAATGTACCTTGAATTGAAAAACTGTGGCAAAGAGGGGCGCTCGGGAAGCTTTCCAAAAACATTTGTGGTAGACCTCATTGACAAACAACAGTGGGTGACATGGCAGGTCTGATGAACACATTGGCAACTTGCAACACTTTCTTGACGTTTGGATCATAGATATGAAAACCGTTGATGGAACCCAAGAACTGGAGCGCAATGAACCGTTGCTTTGGTCCGGAAAAAGGATGTGCGCGTGAGCATCGAAGGACAGCCATGGAGGTTGTCTTCAACACTTCTTCCACAAACACTTCTCAACACTCCTTAGCAACACCAAATCACAAGCCTTCTCTCAACACGCACTTCATCCAACACTCTTTCAAAACACGGTGTCAAAACAGGCTTCCCAAGACTTGTTCGCAACACGCTTGTCAACACTCCCTCGTGACACTTCTCCTAGTACAACAGCTACACCACGTATACATCCGCGGGCACTTATAGGCGGTGGACCATTGCGAAACCTTGTCAATACGAAGCCACACCAAAACACCATCAAACACCTCGATAACAGGAATGAACCGTGCCCGCCCGATCCCGCCCGGCTGCTTTCCACCCTTGGAACAAGGAGCAAAACGTCACCCGGATGAATTTGGCATGAGATGCCTTGAGCCTTTCGGGATTACCACAAATACTTCTCACATATTTCTATTTGTCCACTTTCTCAAGTTTTGCCCTCCTCCTGGTAAGTCTCCAAGAACTCTTCAGGCACTGCAGATGATCCGGCCACATCTAGGAGGGAATGGCCTACAAGGGAGGTCCAACGACATGCTGACCAAACAGAGAGAAACCAAAAGAAACAAGCAAAAAATTCATAGAGGATTCATAAGGCCCTGCAGTGAAAAACAACCAACAGGGACTTCATGGCAATCGAATGTACATGGTGTGTGTTACTAAAAACACACGTGGGGGACATGGTTTGTTTGCTTTGTCTCCGCCTCTACTGCGACGATGCAAGTTGCGCACAGCTCCCAGCTGGACTTCGCCATTTGGTGTCAGGTCCACTTGGGGCTCGGCGTCGACTACCTCCTGGAGCTCGGACCTCGGACCTTCGGACCTTTTTGGACTCCAACTCAAACGATTTCTAATAGCAAACATTGTTACTACTAGTAAGGCACTTGTTACTAGAAGCGATGCACTTGTTACTAGTAGCTTCTTGTTACTACTAGTAAGGCACTTGTTACTAGAAGCGATGCACTTGTTACTAGTAGCTTATTGTTTTCTCAAGTTTCTAGACTGGTCACTTTTGATGCCTGTTTTTCGTTTATATGTTCTGTCTCCGTTCTTTCTAATCCTACAGACTTCCAGCCAGCCTGTTCCAGTCGTCTTTTGTCAAATTTTTGCTGTCGGAGTCAGCTAGCGATGTCCAAGGCTTAATGCCTGTTTATTCCGGGGAGCGCCATGTTATATCCTTGTTCGTGCTCACGGCGACATTAGGAACCCCAAAGGTTTGTATCGTATGCTTTGAAGCCCCCATGATCATTGATTCGTCTGGTGTGGTGGGGTTCGGGGGGGTGACGCGGAAATGCAAGCAATGGAGTTCCATTGGAAAGAACATTGTCTCAGAGAGAGGTCCCGAAGGGATGATGCAAATGCAAAAGCGCTCGCTACTAGGGGCTCCTGGCATCGCTACTTGGCATCGCTACTAGGAGCAAAGGGCAATTCTGCCCAACAGCTGGCAGGCGCTTTGACCTGGTTGGCCACGCGAACCAGACCCGATATCGCTTATGCTGTCAACAAATGTTCCAGTTGCATGACTTCAGATCCTGACAAGTGCATAGGGCTGGCCAAGCGGTTGCTTCGGTATGTGCAGGGGGTCATCAGGCCTTTCAAATACCCTTTGGCAAAAGTGCGTCTTCATTCTGGGACGGATCCTTTGCCCCTACTGGAGATTACTCGCGCTATGGTATGGCGCTGATGTGGGAGGGAGTGCCCCTGAGCTGGCGCACAAGTCGTGATAGCTTTGAACACAGCAGGGGTTGAACAATATACGCGGCTGCCGCTGGTCTTCCGTTAGCCTTGAGCACGCGTGACACACTCAATGACATGGGTGTTTTGCGCGACGTGGAACTGACGCTTGGCAGCCAAGCTGCTTTCCGTATAGCTATTGAAAGAACAACCTGGCGAACCTGGCACTTTCAGCTCCAAGCTGCAGCGCTGCAGGATTATGCATCCCCCGGATTGATCACGCTTCATGTTGCCAGCAAGGATCAGACGGCAGATGTTCTTACTTCTCGCGAAGCACCTTCCTGCAAAACTTGCGACTTACACACGGCAGAGTTTGGGTTCCAATGACCAATCGTTGGCTACGGCCAGCTAACCCGAGAAAGAGAGACAGGGACGAAAGGTTTGAGCCACATTTACAGGATCACTTTAACCCAAGACAGTTGAACATCTTTTTTTTGTTTCTTCGAAGTAAGCCTCAGGTGAGGAGGAGGGTGAAGGACACTGTTCACTGCGCTCCGAGGCCTGTTAGCTAAGCACTGAGGCCTTTCAACTAAGGTGTGCTTACTACACACTGAGGCATGTGGCGTCTGAGCCTTCGAAGCCTCTTCTTTCCCGAGTGAAAAGGAATGATTGTGATTTATGTTCCTTTTTTGTAACGTTCTTTGTCACTGTCGTCCGATTCAGTTTGCTGTTTTTTTGTTCGCTGTGGTTTATTTGCCGTCCGTTCCCTTCTTTCTTGATACGATTCAAATGATAAGTCCTCGTACTGAAGCTTCTCTTTCTCGCTGGGCTTCAAAAGAGACACTTCCTCACAACAGCAAGTCGTGGTGAAAACATGCACGAGTAGAATATGCATTCAACAAGATTTCAACAAGCTACATGTTAATATCAAAAACCGTAAAAAAAAAGGAACACTCGTAAACAACACACACATATGGAATTGCTCTCTCGAGCCCCTGCTTCCAACCACACGGGAAAGCGGTGGCCTTTGTGCCCGTGACCTGGATCAAAAGATTCTCCGGACCATCAACGTGGTAGCCAGTGGTAACCACACCTCTGGCTATCAAAAAGAATGTTTCATAAATTTGCACTCCGGTCCATAGCAATCGTCTGCACACCAACATCTTACCATGCGTTAAAAATGGACTCTGGGAGAAAAGCTCCGGGAAACTTGATGTCAAAAATGTCAGAACTGAGTCATAACCCATACACCCAGCACAGCCCCTCATCAAAGGACGGAAGAGGGGGAGGAAAGAAACAAAAGGAAAGATTCAGACAATAAAGAATAGTTGTCAATCCCCCCGAAGGCTGAGATGCTCAGAAGTAGGCACAACTCCTTGGAAAGGTTGAAAGTGTGAAGCTATGAGTCAGGCGCGAAGGGTCGTGAGTCAGGAAACCTCGATGGCGGTGAGTCAGGAAACCTCAGTGGCAGAACCTTGGGGGAGCGAGTCAGGAAACCACCAAACAAGAAACGGATCTATGGAACATTTGAAAGATTAAAACTATGAGTCAATGACAGGACCCTCTGGTGGCTCACAAAAGGGTTTGCTACGTTAGCATGGCTCCTTCCTTCTCTAAATTTTACCCTTGAATGGCTCACAAAAGATATGCTACATTACGAGCAGGTCCAATCGGAACATACATTGGATAGTTGGGACAAGGACGCAACAGTTCTATTCAATCTTGACAGATTTTCTATTTCTTACTGTTTTTCCTCTTTTCCTCTTCTCTTGTGTCTTTTATTTTGATTCTCTGGTTTTGTCCTTTCTCTTCTCACTTCTCCTTTTCTCTCCTCCTCTTCTATCCTCTGATGAGGGTCTGTGCTGGGTTTCAGTGTTTTGACATCAAGGATCCCAGAAGTATTTTTCCCAGGGGCGGTTTTGAGAAGACGTTGATCTGAATCTTCTGAATGTTCTTGATGTCTTGTTGCCTCAACACATCCATCCGACATGCCCGGCCCGAGGACAGCCACAGCGACGGCTGTAGCAGCTGCAGCGGGCCCATGGCAGCACCAAGTCCGGTGCTGCGCAGCAGCGTGTGGAGCGCTGCGAGAGCTTCAGAACCCAGATCCGCCACCTGTGCTTGGTTCAGGTAGATCTCCTGCGTTAAAACATCCATTTGCAGCGTTGTTGCGTAACATTAGGCTTGCCCAGTAGAACTGCTTTCTTTTGCAAGATAACACACTTAAAGTAAATCACGCAGTGTTTCATCTAACAGTCCTGGGACGGATGTCGTTGCGCCCACGACACCGCATCAGCAAAGCGCATATGCCACGAGCCTGTGAGAGCTGTGGCAACGTGAGAAGCATGAAACTGAAGACCCTGAAATGTCTCCGATGTCGTTTGATGCTGCAGAGACGCTTTAGAATCTTCTAATTAGAACATAGAGTCTGAAAAATATATGCGAACACACACAAAGAGATATGTATGTGTATATATATATATATATCAGACGCAGCATTCTAGAAGTTATAATATTTGTTGATGGTATCGAGTGTCTAGACCCACACGTCCTGGGCGAAGCAGAGTCCAAAGCGGCGACTCTGGACTCAGCGCCTCGAAAAGCAAGCCGTTTGGCAACAGTTTATTCAAGTGAGGCCATCGCTCTTCGGTTGGCGGCCATCGCTAATAGATGCAAATAGCTACTAGGGGCTCCTAGCCTTACTACTAGGAGCAAGAAGCTACTAGGAGAAAGGGAATCACTACTAGGAGCAAGGACGCTACTAGGGGCTCCTGGCCTTGCTCCTGGGGGCAAGAAGCTACTGGGAGCAAAGGGCATCGCTACCAGGAGCAAGGACGCTACTAGGGGCTCCTGGCCTTACTACTAGGAGCA